CGTGGAGGACTTAGACCGATGGAAACTTGTACTACCGAAGGAATACCGTATAGAAGCCCTAAGGGAGTCGCATGACATGCCGCAGGCGGGACACTTGGGGGTGGAAAAAACTTATCAGCGCGTGGCCGTATCGTATTTTTGGCCGAATTTGTTTCGGGAAGTTACCGCTTATGTGCGAGATTGCGATTTGTGTCAACGGACAAAGGTGGATCAGGCAGGTCCGGCGGGTCTGATGGGACGTCGCATCGCGGACGGCCCGTGGACCGTAGTCGCGGCCGACATCGTAGGTCCGTTGCCCCGTAGCAAGGCCGGATTTCAGTATCTTTTAGTGATACAGGATTTATTTACAAAGTGGGTCGAATGCAAGGCCCTAAGAGCGGCCAACGGGAGTAAAATTAGCGAGGCCCTCGAGGATTTAGTGATATCCCGATGGGGCGCGCCGCGATTTTTGTTGACCGATAACGGTACCGAATTTATAAATAAAGTCCTGAAGACGTTCGCGGAAGAACACAATCTAACGCACACTACCGTACCGCCATACCACCCCCAGGCTAACCCCGTAGAGCGAGTGAATCGAATTCTTAAAACGATGATAATCTCGTTCATAGATAAAGATCATCGAGAATGGGACGAACACCTTCCCGAATTTCGGTTCGCTTACAATACCGCATGTCATTCGTCGTTAGGCGCGTCTCCCGCTTTCTTGAATTTGGGGCGGGAATTAGTACCGGTCTACTCCCTGAGTAGGCGCACTCAGCAAGCTACCGAAGTTACCGCCGAAGATACCGCGAAGTGGGCAGATAGGATGCAGAAATTACAGTCATTGAGAGAATGGGTAGTCGAGAATTTAAATAAAGCGTACGAGAAACAGGCCTCCCACTACAATTTACGTAGACGGGATAAAAGATTTCGGGTGGGAGACCTGGTACTGAAACGGCAGCACGTTTTATCGTCCGCCGCGGAAAGGATCGCGGCGAAATTGGCTCACAAGTTTCAGGGACCATATAGGATAGCGCGGGTGATCTCTCCAGTTGTGTACGAATTAGCGCAACTGGACAGGACCCCCGCAGGCAAATGGCACATTAAGGACCTTAAAGCTTATCACGTTCCGGATACCGTTTTGTAGATGCCGCGTAAATGTTACGGACGTGTCGCAGTCCGGACGCTGCTGCGGAACTTCTGGAGGCGGCACCCCGAGGTCGTGGCCTTCATCGAGGAGCACGACGAGGGCTTCTGGCCCGACATGGAGGACACGGCCAGACAGTACCAGGAGGCCGTATATACTACCGAGGGGGCGGTGGTGCGGGAGTTCCCGGAGACCCGGGAAACTCCGGTTCAGACGCCCGACGAGCCGCGGGTGGAGCCCGAGCCGCGAACACCTCCAGCGCCGCGGACGACGGAGCGGGCGACATCTCCGGGGCGAACCCCGAGGGTACGCTCCGGCCGAGTGCAGCGCACTCGGTCTCCCCGAGGGATGCCGGCCCGCGAACTCCAGCGAGGGTGCTGGAATTGTGGTAACCAGGCCCACGCATATACGGCCTGTCCGTTGGGGCGCACCCACGACTTCTGTTATGGGTACGGGTGGCGGGGCGTAACCCTACGCCAATGCCCCCGCTGCGGCCCAAACTACCGCCGGGCAGAGCCGTGTACGGCCGGGCGAGGACCGCGAGCACCCCGAATGCCATCGCCGGCGCGCGAGGACTCGCCGACGCGGGACGGGTGGCCGTGGGCCCGTGACACGGACGGGAAGTCCATATAAGGACGTCGCGGGGGCCGCGGAGACGAGCGAGGAGTTTTCTTTTTTTATATATACCGCTTTTCTTTGTTTTCTTTCTTTGTTTTCTTCTTCTTTTTGGTTGTTCGATATTTTTTTTTTCTTTTCTTCTCTTTTTTCTCTCTTTCCGCATATTTTTCTTTTTATTTTCATTTCGTGTTTGTTTTTTTGGAAAATTGTGTATATAATGGACGAGGACCAATGAGGGAAATAAACCCATAGTATTGGAATCAGAGTATTCTTTATTTCCTTTTTCCTAATTTCCCCCTATCGCGAGGTCGCGGAGCGGCTCATGCGAGGTTTGAGAGCGCGGACGGTAAAAGAATATGTCGCGAGGTGGCTGTCGGGCAGTCAGGGAGATACAGGGCGGACTACCGTTTTCGATTTTTTAAGCATGTGAAAGAGAATCTGCCGGAGAGGCGGCAGGTGAAGGGTTCGTAGCGAGACCTCCTCGGTCCTCCCCTAGGAGGGGGGAGTTGTGACGTGACGCTTTTGGAGCGCCGTCACAAGGGCGAAAACGCCCGATCGGGTAGGCCGCGGAGGCCTGGAGCGCCCCTCACTTCGGGGAGGGTGCGATCCGTCGTTTTTTTTGAATTTTGTATTACCGTATTTTTGCGAGAATTGCCGTTGCACGCAGCATCGGCCTGTCGATGCGCGTGCGACGCGATTCATAGGTAGAGCGACAAGGACGGCTCGAGAGAGCGGCCGGAGAGAGACATGTTAAGCAAGAGAGAGAGGGAGGATGCCGGAGTGCCGCAGCAAGAGAGAGAAGGAGGATGCCGGAATACCACAGCGCGAAAGGAGGATGGAGCGAGCATAGGAGAGAGAGAGCGCGGGACCTCGCGCAGTTAAGTATCAAATATTCGTAATTTAATTTGAAATATCTCGCGCAGACTCTAGGCGTTGGAATATTATAGATACCGAGAGGACTCCGGGAGCCAAATAAACCACAGGGCCGATCCTAAAAGAGGACTACGGAGGGCCCGGCCAGCCTCCCGTTTGTTCCCGAAGGAGAGAGAGGCCGCGGGAAGAAACCCGGAGGAAAATCCTGTCAACCAGCAATACATTACCGGCGTAAGAAATACCTCAGCTAAAGGGGGAGGCGGGGGGAGACCTTAGGTCCCCCGCCATCGACCCTATCATCGAGGGATGCGCAAAAGATCGGCGCGGAAAAGAGGGTACCGAGACGCGCGAGGCCCGGCTCTCCACTGTTCGGTGTGCCGTAGCCAAGAGAGGGTGCCTCCAGGACTCCACCAGACGATTCCAGGACTCAATTTCACCGCCTGAACTGTAAGCCGCCTCTCGAGTAGTCGTAGTTACGTGTTGGTTGGTACCGTAGAGATTGATAGTATACCGTAATTACCGTGAGTACCGTACTCTCTCATTTTTCGTATCGTTTTGTGTGCGAGAGAGCGGTCTCTCTCTTTCGTTTTTCGGGATATCGTATCGCGGGGCCAGCCGACTTTGCGTTTCGCGAAGAGAGCCCTCTCCGAAAAGTGCCGCCGACAGTCTAGCGTATCGAAATTAATTATCGTCAATTTTGGTTACCGAAATATTCAGAGTCACGTTTTTATTAGCTCGATTATTAGATTTTCGGGATTTGCGTGTAGCCGTCTTCGCGAGTTTGTGAACTATTTCCTTGTTCTCGACTCGGCGAGAGAGTCGTGCGAGAGAATCACGAAATCTCCGTCATCTAGTTTTTATCTTGTTTTTTTCATACCGTGCCGTGTCTCGGCATATCGTATTGTGACCTCTGTCTATTCCGCGTGCCCGCGAAAATAAGTTAGACCCTCATAATATTTACCGATTTTGTATTTGTTATTCCGCTTGTATATTATTGTCGCGAAAGTACATAGAATGTTTCACCGTGTATAATTAATACTGATTTTATAAGTCAATTCCGAAAATACCGTTACTCACAGATTTTATTATATTCTATTTCTGATGCGCTACCGCTAGTTTATATCTTACTGTTTGTTACATAATTTTATTGTCCAATTGTATGTATCCGATGTCAAATTGTAATTCCTAAGTGTCAAATATATATATCTGTCAAACTCTAACACCACGTGTATGTCTCTCTATACCTCTCTCTCAACCATAGACCCATCACTCCTATAGACCCGCGACTCTGTATGACTTTTGGAAAAGTGACGTTAAGTACCGTTCACAGTATTATCGTGGCGCGTTCACACGCGCCTGGCGCCCAACTTTACCGTGAGTTAATAAACGCCCCTAAGGGCGTAGAATTAACTCTTCTGATACCGATTTTTTTCCGTTTATTAGTTAATCTTGGAGAATCTTTAAATTGAACGCTCCCCTGTCCGAACTTGGCGTTTCGGCACAGGAAAAGACGTTGCATTGTAAAACTTCATTAATACTTTCCTCATTTATAAAAATTGTAGGAATTGCATAGAGTTTTAATTTACGTCGTCCATTCTGTTGTTTATTTTTAAACTGAGAGTCATCAAAATGAAACTACAACAAATATTTATTGCTTATTTATTGTATATTTGCCAAGGATACTCCAAATATTCAACTATACAATTTTAAAACTTAATTTATCAATATCGAAACTTAATATATCAATATCTGTTAAGTCTCTAATACCTATTATATCTTTATTCAATAAAATTAATATTAAATAAATAATTTTTGATATTTTTTATACAGTTCTGTACTATGTTTTAAAATTGAACAGTCGTATTATAAAATTATTTACTCTAGATTCAATAATACCTCACATAACCTTGAATCTCCTTTTGGATCTTTAGCACACTGTTTAATCCAAATTTCCTTACGTTCTTGGTTAGCAGGAAATCTGAAGAGACGAAATCCTTGTTCTGTATGATTGCGACAGTTTTTTGCACAACAGCCTGGCATTATTATATATTTTTCAAAACTAAATCTCAACTCCACATTCCACTTTCTCTCACTACTACTTATTCACTCTTCTCGTACAACACACACTCACACATACTTCGTAGCCCCAAAATGGCGCTCATGCGACGGTCTTACTTCCCCTCCTGTCGTTCATCTACGGACCTTGCACTAGGTCATATGGACGATTTACTGGAATCGAAAAACAATACCGCTCTCGCGAGACGCGCCCATTACATTCGAGGCGGACGAGCGATAGATCTTATAGGACATCTCCATTGCGACGTTTTCAATCATGACAAATTCTTAATTAACGGTGTAGAAGTACGACTGAGACCAAGGTCGGTAAATGACGCCCGCCGCCACCTCAGGTCTTCCGACGGCCGCCATTTTGGATCCAGTAACTGTGTGTTAGTGCACGTCTGTACAATAGTTGTTACTGTGTGCGTAGTTCGCCATTCGCGCTGATGGTGTACGGCACTGTACGGAGTACGGACATGTGTCTCGTTGGAAAGACGAAAAGCTGCAATGGTAGGCTGCTGTGCAAAACATTGCAAGAATCGCAGTGAAAATGGATTTCGTATGTTTCGGTTTCCCAAAGACAAGCAACGAAAACAAGTATGGCTCGAAAAATGCGGTAAAAGTATAGCACCGACTTCGAGGTTATGCGAGGTATGTAAATGAATTATGTCAATTAAAAATATTATAATTTAAATTTCAAGCAAGTATTAATTATCACTTTTTACTTTATGTAGCATCACTTTGATGACTCCCAATTTGAAAACCACCGAGAGGATAAATGGCGAAAATTAAAACCAAACGCTGTTCCAACTATTTTTAATGATAAAAATTCAACAATTACATTCAATAACCAGTTAGCAGTTGGTAAGAATTATTACAGAATCATATTTTTTTATTCAATATCTGTGGATATTAGATAATAATTATTATTTTTTAATTACATTTATTATTTGCAGGGCAACAAACTCCTCACGAAAACCTATTTGAAAATGATTATGTTCAAGACTTTAATCCGGTGATTTTAACTAATTTCAACAGTAATATTAGGGATAATGAGAACGTTATCGATGAAAATTCACTAAATGAACATTTTCCATCAGCAAAAATGGTCACAGATGCAAGCATTCAAACTGATGGTGACAGTGACACACTTATGTTACAAACAAAATACATTTCTAATGAAGAAGGTACTATCCGACAAGCTAATGAAATAAAATACTTGCAACTGCAATTAGAAAAAGAGCGTGCAAAAGCTAATATGCTAAAGTCGAAATATGAAAATGAAAAATTATTACGACTAAAAATGACAACAAAAATGAAATCTTATAAGAAAAAATGTTGTACTTTATCTGAAAAATTGGAAAATATTCCATTTTTCAAGAAATTTGCTGCAGGATTATCTAATCCACATCAACCAAAATGGTCTCCTGAATGCTTAAAACTTGCAACACAAATAAGATACGCTGGTAATTCCCTCAATTTTTAAATAAAGTAATGTTAGTTTTTGTATGGAATTAACACTAATTTTGATACTTTCTGTTTACAGTTGGATGGAAGGCCTATTTATATTTGAAAAAAGACCTTCAGTTACCTTTACCAGCTTATTCTACTTTATGCAAACACATCAATAAACTTGATTTCTCTCCTGGTCTGTTAAATGACGTCCTTTCATTAATGGCAAAGAAAAAGAAAACTCATTCATCTGCGCTTCAAAGTGATAGTGTTGTTTTGATGGATGAAATGGAAATTAAAAAATCCTTGGAGTATGATGTTAGCACAGGTATATATGATACAAACTGAAGTTTATATTTATATTACGACTAATAATTACAAAATATGATTACAAAAATAGATATTCTTAGCATCCTTATTAAAAGAAAGTCCTACACTCTGTATATCTCTGTATATAAGTACTAATTCATGAGTGTTTTTCTACAGTCTCTTTATTGATAAATAGAATATATTTTCAATTGTATAATAATAATAATAATAATATTAATAATAATTGTAAAAATAATAATTGTAATTAAAATAATGATTTTGATAATAGTATTGATAATGATACCTATAAGTAATAGTATTAGAGTAAGAAAATTGTAATAATAATAACATAATTTTTTTCTCATATTTTGTAATTTAGTTATTTTCTTGTCTCTCTATACAGTTCATAGGCGTAACCCATTGGTTCGAAATCCAAAGTACGTTAAAAATGAAATATATATTTTTTATCTATAACTACAGGGTCATTTATTGGACACACAACGTGTGAAGAACAAGCAAAACTAAGCACTACTGTTGTTGTTTTTATGCTCAGAGGACTAACAGAAAACTGGAAGCAAATTATTTCGTGGCATCTGACGTCTAAATCTTCAGATGATTGTGTAATGACCCAATTACTTTTAGAAATTGTTGAAGAAATCGAGAAAATAGGCTTTAGGGTTTATGGATTAGTCTGTGATATGGGTCCGAAAAATCAAGCTATATGGCGCAACTTAGGAGTAAACGTTTCGAGGGATAACGTTGTACCGTTTATAGATCATCCCGTACGAACTGGTAATTCTTTTTATATCTTTCCAGATGCTCCACATCTTTTAAAAAGTTTACGAATGGCGTTAACCAATAATTCCATCATTATAATAGCCCGATCAATTGTAGAGTCTGAAAATTTACCATGTAATGAAGTACGATTTAAATACCTTGAAGAATTAGTTGCAATTCAAGAACGACATAGTGATTTAAAATTAGCACCAAATATAACAGCTGAGATTTTAAGGCCTTCTTCTTTTAATAAAATGCAAGTACCACCAGCAGCGCATATATTTAATGTAAGAACTGCCGTTGCTCTAGAAACTTTGATTGAACTAAAAATGATAGATAAAGAAGCTCAAACTACAGCTTGGTTTATAAGAAAGGTTCGAGTTTGGTTTGATGTAATGAATAGCAGATACCAAAGTGAAGCTATAAATTTAAGTAATAAAAACATAAAAATAGCTATTATTGATAATTTTTTACATTTAATAGAAAATATAATAATTGGCAAGTCATGGAAACCAGTTCAGACGGGTATAAAAATATCAGTTTTAAATACTATAACACTCGTGAATTTATTATTTAAAACTGGATATAACTTTTTTTTAACCTCTCGCCTTAATCAAGATGCCATAGAAAATTTGTTTTCGACTTTACGTCGACATGGAAACGATAATCCAACTGCTTTAGAAACTAAACGGTGTCTACGACTGATTACATTATGTCAATTTTTGGACACTCGAAAAACCAAAAAAAATTATGAAGATGATAATGATGAGCATTACGTTCAATTCTTTTTATCAAAAGAACCAAAGAAAGGAAGAGATTTAATTGTGATTCCGCCAGACGATTGTATGTATTCCCCCGTTTATGAAAATACACAAAATTACACTTATGTAACCCCAATAACGAATAGATTAGAGTGTAATATTATAAACAACGTACTAGGAAGTGCAATTTCTTATGTTTTACGAAAAAAATACGCTTGTAATGATTGTTTAAAAGCTTTTACTGATGATAATGGTCAGTATTCGTTTTATACCAAAGCTCTTTCTTTTGGATTCTTAGAAAATCCTTCAAATGGTATATTTAACTATATTTCTTTAGTTGAAGGTCATTTGCAAGCGCATTTTGATAGATGTGCTCTGCACCCTCGATTATTTGAGCATTTATTACAAATGATCGAAAAATGGGCACCTTATAAAGAATTAACTATCTCAAACATTTGTGCGGAACGTACCAAACCTTGTAATTTCTTCTACAATATTTTACGTCGATATATTCATATTCGACAAATTATTTTTGTTAAAGATCAAAAAAAGAAAATACGTTTAACGAAAAATAAATCCTTTGCTTCAAAAAGTGCTCATAGGCAATCTATTATCTAAAAATCAAAATTATTTACAAAGCAATATTGTTATTATTTTTAAATATTTATTTTAATAGCAATATTATTTAAATAAATTTTTTTTTTGCAATATTTTAATCGCCAGTTAAAGTCCATTTAAAATGTATTATTTGAGTTATTATTTTAATTATTATAATTACATGTTTATTAATAAAAATATAAGATTATTGGAAAATTTAATTTCTAGTCTAATTATTTTAAACACTCAATGTTTTTAATTAAGAGTTAGTAATAAAATTAGTTAATATATTTGAGAATGCATGCTGTTTATTTTTCTAATTTCGACCAAGTATTATTTATTTTTATGTTTTTTAACTTAACTTTTAAACAGCCTAAACATTAACATTTACCTAAAAATCAAACATTATATTTTTTGGCTGAATAGCTCAAGGTCCGTAGATAGACGCCACGTACCTGTCGTCGCGTCTATCTATGGATTTTTGATCAGCTGAGCGTTGTGGTCGCCATTTTGGATCCAAACAGCTCGAAGTGCGGCGGAAGACCTGAGGTGGCGGCGCGGCGGGCGTCATTTACCGACCTTGACTGAGACTCGTCCGCTCGAAAGATTCGTTTTGTCTCATGGAAAGTAACAGCACGTCGAAAATACATATTCTCGATGCTAGCTTACTAGTGAGAAGAGCAAAAATAAACCCTGGAGTGTTACTTGCGCATGCTAGAATGCTGAGTAAAGTTACGGCCAAGTATCCGCTTACGAGAGTCGAGGTTAAAACATTCACGATTCACAGTGGTGTTATGGGCGAATCATTAAATAATGTAATACTAGGTCAATTACCGAAACGAATAATAGTCCGGTTTGTTAATAATAAAGCATTTAATGGAGATAGAAAATTAAATCCGTTTAATTTTAAAAATTATGGTATAAATTTCTTCTCTCTGTACGTCGACGGTACGCAAATTCCTAGTAGATCATTACAACCGATTTTCTCGTTGGAAGAACCGCTTTATGTCGATGCTTATCAAACGCTTTTCGCGGGAACGGGTATCCATTTCTTTAATGAAGGAAATTCTATAAGTACAGACGATTATTCCAAGAGATACACGCTTTTCACTTTTGATCTCACACCCGATTTGTCCGCCAATTGCGCCGGGCATTGGAATCTCGTGAGACATGACAGTTTACGGTTAGAAGTACGATTCGAAAAGTCGCTTACCGAAACAATTAACTGCATTGTTTACGCCGAATTTGATAATGTAATTGAAATCGACTCGTCGCGTCAAGTCATTGTCGATTTTTCCGGCTAAAATTTTTATCGCTGCATTTACAACTAGTAGTATAGTGGCAGGTACGGCCCGTCAAAACAAACCCCCACCACCGACCCCTCTGGCGCTGTGTCTTATCTTTCCCCCACCACCAGCGCCTGGTTTTTCCGAGTGCGGGTGTTGGGGGGAAAAAAAATGGCGACTGGCCCCGAAAAATGGGGATGAGAATTTTTTTATTTTTCTGATTTTCTCTGGATTTGAAACCGGGACCTTCGTGTTTCCGAGCAGGGTCCTAGTATGTTGAGCTAAACGAGATCTTACTAGTCTAATGATTAGATGAGGCATTTAAGTTAAAGTTGCGTAGAGTACGGTATGGGGGTTCGGGTATGCGGATGGCAAGGATAGCTCGTCGAATCAAATGGTCGATATTGGACGGGGTGGGGTAAAAACAGTTCGGGTATACGTATGGCAAGGATAGCTCGTCGAATCAAATGGTCGATATTAGACGGGGTGGGGTAAAAACATTTTGACCAAGAAAAGCGTCATGCGGTCGACCGGGGATCGGTGGCAGGTAGTGGCTGACGATACCGTAGGGTAATAAAAAAAAACACGTAAATATTTGTACAGGCGAGCATTCTGACTCGAGTTGCGATAAAAAATAATACATCATCGTAGATTAGAAAGAATGCTTATTGTTGAAAAGATGTCAGATAAAATTATATTTTAAAATAACGTGCGGCTTAATAAAGGTGAACAGGAACGTGCACGTTGAAGAAATTTCTGGAAAGAGGAAGTGAAAGAAAATTGAACAATGGTTTTAAAAGTATATGGTTTATATTTAAAATATTTTTACAGAACAAAATTCATTTATTGATACCAAAATTCATATTATATATTGTTATAATTCGCTTGTTTTTGTGAGTAAAAATTTTACGAAATAAGTGTATGATTAAACGATCGTTATATTCACAATCTTCGGAAAAAAGAGCGAGAAACTGATTAAGATTATAACCGCTGCACATATAATATAAAAATACACAGCAGTATTGTCCGCAAGTCTTAGAAAAAATTCCTTGTAATTGTTGAATATTCCAGCGATGGATGATAAAGTTTCGTCGAAGTCGGATGAGAAATCCTGGATACAAGGGGGGCAATCCATAGCTATCGAAGTAAGTGGCTGTGCCGTGTTCATCGAGATAGAAGGAAACGCACGCAAAGTCGATTAAGTGTGAACTCGATAAAATTATTGTAAATTTTGATTCCTGTGAATCATGGCTGGAACCGAATCAGATAAGTACGAAACTGCTGGTACGTCAATTTTTTTACATATAATGTCTTTTATTAACTATGATAAATTAGAACTTTTTAAACTACCATAAATATAATAATAATTCTTTATTATAATTATTTTTATTATATGATCACACTTATTGTTCTCTGACAGCCTAAAAGACATATACTATATTATAAACATATGTTGTGGGTGAATATATATATATCTGCGTTGCAAATATATTGGGTTTACTTGATTGGGTTTAATTGATTATGTTGTAACAACACCACCACACAAGGATGTAACAACAGATGACGATTTTAATCCAAAAGATATACATTTGGTTTGGCAATCCAGGTAAATATATAATTCTATCTCTGAAATTGTTTTTATTTATGTTGTCTCGTATTTGTATTATACGCACTAATAATTACACGCTAATACCCCTGTGAGAAATGATGATAAAATCGACGTCGATTTGTTGTCGAATCGATGTCAAATTCGTCGAATCAATGTCAAATCGATGACTATTCGACCAATCATTTCTCACTGGAACTCACATGTATTAATATTGTGACGTGACGCTTTTGGAGCGCCGTCACAAGGGCGGAAAGCCCGATCGGGTAAGACGCGAGGATCTGGAGCGCCTCTCATTTCGGGGAAAGTGCGATCCGTTTATTGTATTTTATTTTTGCGAGAATCACAATTGCACGCAGCATCGGCCTGTCGATGCGCGTGCAGCGCGATTCATAGGGAGAGCTACGGCGACGGTCCGAGAGAGCGGCAGGAGACCATTTTGTGAAGCAAGAGGAAACGAGACGGGATGTGCCGGAATGCCGCAGCAGAGGAAGAGAAATGGAGCGAGAGTGAGAGAGAGCACGGGACCTCGCGCAGATAAGTATCGAGTGGCCGAAATTCAATTAAATATCTCTCGCGCAATATTCATGCGGTTAACATCTTCCAGAGTACTGAGAGAACTTCGAGCCTTATCAACCCCGGGGCCGATCCTGAGGAGAGACGACGGAGGGCCCGGCCAGCCTACCGCCTATTCCCTCAGGAGCAATGCCAAGGGCGCAAACTCGGAGAAACATCCTCTCATGCAACGTTAAAAATACCGGCGAGAAATTACCCCAGCTAGGGGAAGAGTCAGGGAGACCCTAGGACCCCCGCCATCGACCCTATCATCGATGGAATGCGCGAGAGATCGGCGCGGCGCTTAAGGTACCAAGGCGCGCGAGGCCCGGCTTTTCACTGTTCGGTGTGCCATAAGCCAGAGAGGGTGCCTCCAGATCTCCAGTTGTGCGACCAGAGGACCAAGCTTCACCGTCAACTACTGTAAGCCGCCTCTCGGGTAGCCGTACGTAATTGTTGGTTGATGCCGTGAGTGGCGAGAACGTAGAGTAATTACCGTGAGTACCGTGTCCTCTCGTTATCGTATCGTTTTTGTGCTAGAGAGAGCGGTCTCTTTCTCTGAGTATCGTACCGCAGGGCCAGCCGATTTAGAATTTCGCAAGCCGAGCCCTCTCCGAAAAAGTGCCACCGAAAGTCAATCGTTCCGAGAGCGAGAATCGTAAATTCTTGTTTGCCGATATATTCAGAGTCACGTTTCTTACGTATTCGGTCATTAGATTTGCGGAATTTGCGTGCACCCGTTCTCCGCGAGTGTGTTAAAGATTTCAATTTTCGTCTCGGCGAGAGAGTCGTGCGAGAGAGTCACGAAATTACCGTTATCTCTTTGTTACTTTTTTTGTATACTGCGCCGTGTCTTGAATTATGTTTATGTGACCTCTGTATATACCGCGTGTCCGCGATAATAAGTTTGAACAGCACACCGTTTACCGATTTTTCTTTGTGAATTCCGTTTGTATAATATTGTCGCGAAATTGTTTAAAGTATTCAATATTGTTATAATTAATGAAAATTTAACAGATCGATTCCGTCATACCGACATATTCGCCTATATATTTATATTATATTTTTCCATACCGCTAGCCTCTATGTTAATGTCCGTTATATAATTACATTGTCAATCTATACTTATTACATGTAAAATTGTTAATCCTAAGTGTTTGAAATATATATATGTCTATTTATGTCAACATGTGTATGTCTCTCTATATACCTCTCTCTCAACCATAAACTAAAAATCCTATAAACCCGCGACTCACTGCCGAATTTTGAAGAGTTACCTTAAGTACCGTTTTCATTGATATCGTGGCGCATTTACATGCGCCTGGTGTCCACCTTTATCGTGAGTTACCGAAAGTACTGAAGTACGAGTAACTCTTTTGTTACCGATTTTTAACGCTTTCTTGTTTGAACTATTAGAATATTTAAATTGAACGCTCCCCTGTCCGAACTTGGTGTTTCGGAGCAGAAAAAAACGTTGCAATATATATTTATTATTATATATATTAATTAGTTATTATATATTATACAGTCCGTTTCTAAAAAAAGCATGTAAAGTACTCGCATATCTCGAAGTT